GGTCAACTGAGATCATAGGGATCATCCATGGCAAGTCTTCCAATAATTATCCCAAATTGACCCTGCACAATATTGGCAACAGGGAAAAGAGGCAATCCGCTAGTCTCAAATCACCTCGGCAAAGTTGCCTTCACTATTTAGTGCATTATAGTTGCTTTGATTTGCTTAATTTCTACAGAAAACATACTTCCATTTCACAACATCACAAGAGATTATCATGAAAATGATTGTACGACAATTTGGACAACTGAGATCATAGGCATCATGGCAAGCCTTCCAATGATTATCCCAAAATTGACCGTGCATAATATTGGCAACAGGGAAAAGAGGCGATCCACAAGTATCAAATCACCTCGGCAAAGTTGCCTTCATTATTCAGTTCAGTGAAAAATAGTTGCTTCAATTAACTTAATTTCTATCAGAAACATAATTCAAATTATTTTCAACCATCAATCATATAACTTGAAAACAACCAAATTCACTTAAAATGACATGATGGTCAAAACAAATAAGATCATTGAACCATAAGTATGTTTTGTGAGCTTCACCCAAAAACAATAATGCTTTCACTTGACTGTCCCATTAGGGTCCATGAGAGCAAAAGCATCAATCATACAGTATTTACTAGGCATAAATTACAATCGTTAAAACAGTAGAAAGTAGACACTTCTATCAAAAAAATATGGGTCCATGAGAACATAGGCATCAGCCATACACAGTATGTCCACCTACAACATCCCAATAATGACCAAACTAAATATGGGCAACAGGGAAAAGAGGTAATCAACAAGTAACTAATCACCTCGGCAAAGTTGCCACTGATGTTGTAGAACATCAAAATCTCTTTCCCACAAACTAGACAATTCGAAAGAGTTCCTCAAACACTACACCAATATTCCAGTGTACTCTTAAGGGGGATGAATCTTTCAAATTCTGATTAACAATTACCACTATGACAACTGGAACATAAACAAGTTTACAGCTGTATGATCAAAACTACCAATTATTTAAACAATGCCTCACTCACAAAAGCGAGTTTGAATAAGTTTCAACCATATTGGAAAATTTATTCCCTATCAGAGTAACTATGACAAAAGCTTCACATAGTGTATAACCATAGCTTAAGACAAAGTTCATCATATAGGGACCGATCAGAAGGAATGAGAGATGCACATTGCAAGGTAAATACAATGATAGCTTAAATCAATTGTTTCTAATCCAAACAATTAATCAGCATAATCTCTAGTATGATCAACCACTGCTTTGATCATTCTGCAAATCAAGTAACAGGGATGGTAATTCTGATGCATATGAATATTGATTTTAGAAATTAAAACATATATAATATATAAACATCCAATTCTGAATTATGAGTTCTCCTAACAGCACGGGTTCCGGACAGCAGTAATAGGAACTATTACCTTTTTCCCTGGCCTAACAAGCCTCAATGCAACTTCAGCGGCAGTGTTAGCGGCTGCAATAACATCAGCAGCCCTTCCAGTCACCGGACCTTCTTGCAGAACATGAGTGTGAGCAACTACAGCGATGAACCCATCAATGTGACACCCCAAATCACTGTCGTAAGAAAAACCCATCATCAATCAGCCGTCATTAAATACCCCACGAGAAAAACAGCAATGAATCAATGTATAAGTTGGTTACATCTTCAGTACATCTCCTTCTTCCATCACTGTCTCGTCGCTAGCCAGAGGTGAGAAGTGGCCAACTGTGTTGTTAGTAGAGATGCAAGTTGGGAAGGCAACGCCCCGTTCTATCTTCTTCTTAACGTTCTTGTACATGTTGCCAGTTTGCCTTCACATTCAAACAACAATACTTAACAAAATACGATCAGCAAGAAAGGGGAGAAAATTGAAGTTTTAATTCTAAAACCTACTCTCTAATGAAGGAATCTCCTTTCTCGCAAATGTCAACAATTTTTGCTTTAGGTTTACATTCAGATATCACCAGCTGCAATGCCTCTGCAAAATTTTTACGTTTCCACCAACAAGGTCATAATCCACATATCAGAACAGTTGAGAGATTAAGCCGCGAGCTGAATTTGACATGCTATTGAGGAAAATATCGAACGGAAAATATTTCATCAGAAAGAGAGAGAACTCACTGTTTGCGATCTCGGCAGCACTTTTGTACTTCGTGACAACATCCGGAGAGGAGAGATCCAACTCCACCTCCTCCCTTTCATCGTCCGACATTGCTTTTGAGCTTCAGAAACTCTTCAACTATCAGAGACGACAGATTCAGGAAGAATAACTCCAAGTTTACAAGCAAATTTCAACAAAAACGCAGGTAATTGAAGGGAGTTGTAACTCTCGAAGTAGAAAGCAGAGAAGAAACTAGGGTTACCTTCTTCTATGGCCGCGTTTGTTTATATAGGAATAGTTTTGAGCTGGTTAGGCCCGCTAGGGTTTTGGGTTTTCTTCTCCTACTTTTGTTCTCCCTTTCCTTTAATTTATTAAAAATAATTAAGTAAAATTATACCAAATATCCTTGGAGTTTAGGGTAGGTTTCAACACTACCCCTAAACTTTTAAAATTTTTATTTTTACCCAAAACTTTAAATTTGTTTCACAATTACTCTTACGTCAACTTTTTCGTCAAAATGAAGATGGAAAAAGAAAGGAGCGTTAACTTGTAAAATAGTGGTACACGTAGTATAGGTGACAAGTTTCAATTATGTCTCTGATCTTTATAGTAGGTTTCAATTATTTAATTTTCATTTCAAAAGTTTCATTTTACACATGAAATGATTCAAAACAGTATAATCAGTTTATCTATCTAAAATGAAGACAAAAATATGATGCGGCAATTAGTTGAAAAATAAATGTTACGTATATATTTATGAAATAAAATTTGTTAAAAATTGGAGTTGATTGAAAGTGTGGGTCCATAGAAATGAGGAGAATAACAAATAAAAGAATTAACGAACACGTGAAGATAACTTTCATCCTTAAATATTAACTCACCACTAAATCATATATCTTCAATTTAAGAGAATCTAATGAAGGGGTTGTTTTAAAACAATTTCAATGATTTAGTATTAAAATGAAACTTTTTAGCTGATAAAGGATATAATTGAAATATATCCTAAAAGTCAAGGAACATTAATCAATTTTGAAATCATTGCCACGGATACCGCTATTTTACAAGTCACTGTCACGTCACTTTTCCATCATAATTTTAACCAAAAAACAGGTGGGAGAGTTTTTAAACAAATTTAAAAACTTTAAGGATAAAAATAAAACTTTATAGAGTTGAGGGTGTTAAAAATTTATAACTCTCTATTATTATTTTGAAAAATCCTATTTAAAAGAATCTTCTTTCCTATCTCAACTTGGTAGGGGTGAGTATTGAAAATCGAAATATCGATCCGATCGATCAAAACCAATCGAACCGACATCGATCGATCGATTTTATTAAAATTTCGATCAAAATTGGTTTTACGTAAAAAAATCGAGATATAGTCGATCAGTTTGGTCGGAAATCTTTTCCGACCGACTTGTTATTATTAGTATAAGGAAGGAAAAAAAAAAAG